GACCCATCACAAATATGCAGTATATGCATGCAGCGACATATATATAAAAACTGTATTTTTATTCAAACTGTTTAGCGCACACTATAACCTTATTTTAAATTAGTACATTATGGCTGCAGAGTAACTTCAAGGGAATCAAGTTCATGTTCGTCTTGGCCAACACATGCCTGCATGCATGGAAATATACACGCATATACACACACAAAGACAGAGATCCCCCTATAGCCTTAACAGACTGTTGGGGCAAGTGCCGCATAGCGAGCACCTATAAAGGCCGACACGGCACACGAGGGGGTAGGTGGCCAGCATCACGCCCGGCCGCTTTTGTTTCCCTAGTGGCGATATTAACACACCAAATCAGGTACTCATTTGAGGCGGAGCTGACCTAGGGGAGGCCCATGATCGGTTCAGATGGATCGTCAATGGTGTTGGCCGTGAGCGGGAATCGAACTAAGGTGACCGGGTTTGCGTTCATACCGCAACGCGCTAACCACCACCGCTCCCACACATATACACATACACACATACACACGTACAGACACATACATACACATGTACACACACATACACACGTACACACAGACAAAGATTGCCGCGTATTGCCTTAACACGCCGTCGGAGCAAGCATTGTTTGCGAGGACGTGCGTTGGCTGGTGTGGTGGAGCATGCAGTGGGTTGATAAAGGGATGTTAAAATTAGCATTGTTGTGGGCGCGTATCAAATGAGTAACTCGGCTTCACAGGGAATAGTACTCATGCATTGGAGGCACATTGCCGGGTACTTGTTTAAGGCTAAGTCCACCTAGGAGAAACCCATAACACGCTTAATTTTGCCAGGAATCGAACAAAGATTTCCAGGATCCGTAGCTAGAATATGGCTAGCCACCCTTCTCCACATATACACAAAGATATATATAAATGCATACATATATATGCATACACACATTATAATCGTTATGCATACAACACGTACCGTTACACATTGCGAATAACACATAGTATATCAATTTTTTTGTCTTCAAGAAAATAAAAAAAATCTGCCGGATTCAACTTGTTCAAGACGTGCACCGAAAAACAAATACCTTACACTATCATCATCATCATCATAATCCTCCTCTGCCGCCACAGGCAATCCGCTCATGGATTTAATCGCTCCATCTCCCAGGCGGACGAAGTCTCGGACGCGTTCCAGTGCTCGGCTGTCTACGCTGTAACATCTCAAAACAAACCACGCACACGATATATTGATATAACAATACTACTATTACGACTACAATCTATCAATACATGGGTGTGTGTAAGTGTACACGTGTGTGTGTTTGCGGGGAGCGGTAGTGTAGCGGTCAGCGCGCTGCACCACAAACCTGGTGACCCGAGTTCGATTCGGGCTAACGCCCAACATTAGTGACGATTATCTCAACTGGTCCTGGGACTCCCATAGGTCAACTGAGCCTCTAATGAGTACCTGGTGCGGTGTGTAAACATCTCCACTGGGGAGACAAAGGCGGCCGGGCGTGGTGCTGGTCACCCACCCCCTCGTGTGTCGTTCTGGCCTTCATAGGTGCTCGCTAACAGCACTTGCCCCAACAGTCTGTTAAGGCTATACGGGCGGTCTTTGTCTTTGTAAGTGCGTCAGTGGTTATATTAGCCGTCATTGTGGTGGCTATGATAACTGCGGTGATGGTGCGTGAAGGAATTTGATGGTACGTGATAGTACGTGATGATGCACAGGCAATGCCTCATTTTTATCCCGAACAGTGCGGAACGGCTGTTATGATAAATTATGTTATCAACGTGGGATTAATATGCATATGCGTGGATTGCACTTCTAGTGGTAGTGCCTTACGCCGAGTGTCCCTGTACTCCAAGGCAGCCTAGCAGCGTGATGATTAATGAAGCCCCGATCATAACACAGGTCACTGAGAGCGCTGATGTTGTACATTGTTTGTGTGTGACGGGGATGGGCAGTGACACGACTCTGACGGAACGGGCCACGAGGAGGGAGAAGCACCTCGTCTTCACGACTCATCCCCCCCATCCCTTCAGCAACCCCCCCCCCCTTCATCAACCCCCCATTCATCAACCCCCCCTTCATCAACCCCCCTCCTTCATCATCCTCCCCCCCCCCGCATTGATCACCACCCCACCCCCCCCCCCCCCCCCCGTGTCTCGCATCAAACTCGAGGGGCGAATATAATGGCGATAATAACCGCGAATACCTGGATCAGCGATACGAGCTCATCACGAGCAACAGTGGTCTGCGTAAACATTTGCGGTGCGTGTTTTAAATGCGGCATTGACGGGAAACGAGATCAGAGCCAACGCGGCCAAATTGCGCGTGTGTGCGGTGGGGTAGCGGTTAGGGCGCTGCGCTACGAACCTGGCGACCCGGGTTCGATTCCCGCTCTTGGTCAACACCTGTGGCTATTATCTGAACCGGTTCTGGGCCTCTCCTAGGTCGACTCAGCCTCAAATGAGTACCTGGTGCGGTGTGTAAACATCGCCACTGGGGAGACAATGGCGGCCGGGCGTGGTGTTGGCTCCCCACCCCGTCGTGTGCCGTGCCGGCCGTCATAGGTGCTCGCTAACAGCACTTGCCCCTACAGACTGTTCAGGCTATACGGGGGATCTTTGTCTTTTTTTTACAGTGGGAGCGGTGGCGCACTGGTTAGCGCGCTGCGCTACGGGCCCGGCGACCCGAGTTCAATTCCCGCTCACGATCAATATCAGTGGCGGATGTTTGGACCGGTCCAAGGCCTCCCATCGGTCAACTCGACAAATGAGTAGCTGGTGGGGGTGTGTTAAACATTAGCAGTGGGGAGACAAGGGCAGCCGGGCGTGGTATTGGCCGTCGACTCCGTGTCGGCCTTCAGAGATGCTCGCTAACAGCACTTGCCCCAACAGTCTCTTGAAGGCTATACGGAGGATCTTTGCCTTTGAGATTCACGTTTTGCGTAAATATACAAATCCCAGCTATTCTAAATCCGCCATTGGGTTGAAGTCCTCTGCACGCCTTGTCGGTCATGGGGTGGGGTAAGGGAATTTTTGACCATACTTCACCACACTGGTCATGGCGGTTTGAAGGTGGGTGGGTGTGGGAAGTGGTGGGGGCAGGACCGGTTCTGATATCACTCGTCACTGCTGTTTAACCAGTGGCCGGGAATCGAACTCGCGTCGCAGGGATTATTATCGCAGAGCGTTAACCACTGCACCACCGCTCCACCCGTGTCTTTATTCGTGTATTTTAAACATCGCAGACATGACTAAAACATTAAATACCTTTCATTTTATTTACATATATTTATTTCACCGTAAAACAGATGAGAACCCGTTAGGATTAATGATGTATTGGTCGATGTAGGCCAGGGACTGAAACAATAGCGGCGGAGAGAATAGCTGAAGAGCATTTGGCAGTACAAACCAACGCAAGGCTAACAGCCGGACAGACGTGAAGCCGATTTTCAAGTGTATTCACACGGGATTCTCGCGAACCTGTGTAAAAACGAACGCACGTGTTGTTGAATTCATATGCAATTTAAATTCAATCAAATAGCTTTAGTCAATTGATCATTTCTTAGGTGAGCAGCTGTGTGCGCGGGCAGGCGTGATAATTTCTTCATAATCATCATCGTCATTCAGCATCACAAACTGTATCTGTCCACTGCTGGATGACGGCCTCCCACGCGGTCCTGCGATGTCATCGAAATTCATCTCGCTCTGCGCATCAATTACCGGACCGCTCCGATCGGCGGACGCGTCCCAGAGTAGCGCACCGCCACCGGATATTAAAACATTCTCCACCGCGAACTGTTCACAACAACAAAAACACAAGAAAGAAAAATCATGCACACGCAAGGAATACGTTCATCTTTCCAACACGTGTTTGTCTCTGGGCGTATTTGCGAGTATTCCCCGTGTGCATGTTTTATCTCTCCAAGGTCTAAGGCAGTGGTTCTTCTTAACCTGGTGGAGCACACAGCCCCTGGGGGTGTGAGACATCGCCAATTTTCTTGTTAGAAGGTAAATAATCAAAACACAAAGCAAGCACGGGCACGTAAGTTACAACTACTTTGTTCCATGTTCGACCCTATGTATTTATTAACATTATACTTTTATTTATTTAAAGCTTTCGTGACTGCAGGGATTCATATTCTTGGTTATTTCGGTAAAGTCCCTTCTACGTGACTTTACCGAAAGAACCAAGAATATTATACTATCTTGTTTTGTTTACAATTGCTGCAGTAAAGGTTAAGGACCACTGGTCTAAGGTAAGCCTCCAACAGCAGCGCGACTATTGGATCGTCTTAACGAGCGTCATTGAGACTCCCCATCACAGCCAGCGCAGGCAGATCGCCAGACGCACCTCGCTAAGGAATTCATGTACGCGCTCCACCTTAATTGGAAACCCCGTAACACACTGGACGAGAACGGCGCGTGAACGCGACGGGAACTCTTGCTCTTCACTCTGACCCGATTCGCGTCGCAGTACCTGAGCGGTGGATAGAGAGAAAGAGAGAGAGGGAGAGCGAGAGACATGGAGGGTGGGAGGAGAGCGAATGCTCACTGGGCGAGGTTCAGGACCCTCTGTGCCGGACAGGGCCGGCTACGAGCCACGGGCCCTGCCAACAGGCGCGTGGTTGAGACGCCCGCCCGATCGCCCGATCGCCCGCCCGCACCCCGATGGAGACGCGAACCCCGAGACCTCGGCACGTCCGCGCCGCGCCCACCCTCTCCTGCGGCGGCTGAGTGAACGAGGAGGCAACGTGCAGCAGGAGAGAGTTGGAGTGCGGTGGAGAGGATGGGGCGGGGAGTTGCGGGAGTGCGAGGAAGGGTGTGTGTGGGGGGGTCTGGCTGGGGTGGGGTGCCGCCGTGACGTGCTCGGTTCACGACACCAGTGGCCCCAGAGAGAGGCTCGCCTCTTACCCCGCACGCCTCCACCTCTCTCCCCTCTTCCTCCTCCCTCCTTCTCCTCCTCCCTCCCTCCTCCTGCCGTCAGCTCTCCTTCCCGCCCACCCCCCTCTTGTCCTCGGAGATCGGATTTACTGCTCCAGCGACAGGACTCGCTATATATCCCGCCCTCGCCGCTCGTTCCCCGCGGCCTCGCTTCCTCGCTCGCAAGGACCCCCCCCCCCACCCCGCGCCAGCCGCCCGTCTTTGGACGAATGGTTCAGCCACAGCGGCCTTTCATTCCTTGCGAGGGGGCGACGTCTTTGTGCGTGGTTTCTTTTTTTTGTTGTTAAACGCGCGCTCGCGTTAAAACATTTAACAGCCGCGACCAAGAAAAAGCATCGATCGGCGAACAGCAACAACAACAGCAGCAGCAACAACAGCAACAACAACAGCAACAACAACAACAACAGAAACACCAGCTTCGAAACGAACGCCGCGAACTCGGGACTCGTGCAGGAGGTTCGAGGGCGCCGCTGTGAGACTGCGTCAACATGGGTACGTCGTCGTCATCGTCGTCATCATCATCATCGTCGTCGTCGTCGTCGTCATCATCATCATCGTCGTCGTCGTCATCGTCGTTGTTGTGTCGCCGTCTCATCTGCTTCACAGGCGGGCGGCGCCGGGAAGGGATTCGGCGGCACAAAAAAAAACCCGCGCGGCTCTTTAAATATTAAGTTGTTGTTGTTGTTGTTTACCGAATTCGAACAAGAATAAGAAGTGTCTCTTCTCGTTATTTTGAGTTCCGACCTCCTCCCCCCGCGGAGGATGTACTCGCGTCCCTTTGCCCGCGCCGCGTTTCTTGCCCTCTCGCCGCACCTCCGATGGGACACGGCTGGCCACGTACGGCGCGAAAGAAGTTCAACGTGCGCGCGCGCACGCACCCGTCTGCTCGGCCGTGTAGCAACAACTCGCGTTCCACATCGCGGACACCGCTCGTACGCGTTAGCCGGCTTCACCCGCAGCTGCTGCTGCCGCTGCCGCCGCTGGACATTGATAGCGGGGCTCCTGCGTTTACCCGCGCGACTCTGTTGTCAGCATGACGGCTGTTTACCGGCCAACACTGAGGGAGGTCGCACGCGCGAGACAGCAACAAGCCATGGGCCTGCGTTTACGGGTTACAGGGAGGCTGGCGCGGGTTACTTCTTCCCCGGCGTTTGCGGCGCTGGCTTGAGTGAAGGGAAAGTGAATCGACCGCAGGGGTTGAGTGAGCGAAGTTTCCGCCGACAGAGAGCGGGCTGCGTAACGCTGACCTCGTCGCGTAGTCGTTGAGTGAGAGGCTTTTGCAACGGAACAGTCGCTCGCAAGTCTGTGTGTGCCCCCACCATGAGGAGAGTGACTGCGCACATTGGCCACGTGCAGGTCGATTGTACCCGACGTGTCTCTCTGTGCTATCTCTGAACGCCGTGCGTTAGAGCGCAACGTGCTATGTGTGCGCGCGCGCGCGCTGTGTGACTCGCTGCACGGAGTCAAACACCGGGGTATTCTACTCGCCTCGTAACTCGCACGAGCAGAGAGAGCTGTGATCATCAACATCGACTCTTCTCTTTTCGCGTCAATGTGACGAGTCGCGATCTCTCCGTCTCTTTCTCTCTCGGGTTCCGACCCCTCGAGTCTCGCCACGCGCGCATCAATCCCCCGTATCTGTGGGCTGGGACCCTCCACTCACTCACGCAGCGGGCGAGGCGGACAGCGCCGCGAGTTGCTCCACACACACCGGATGGGAGGCCACGCGACTTTTTGGAACCCCCCCCCGTATGGGCTAGCACAGACTGTGGAGGGGGGGGGGTGCTCAGTGCTGTACGCACGCCACACGATGGGATGGGGGTGAACCAACACCACGCCCGGCCGCCTTTGTCTCCAACAGCGGCGATGTTTAATACACCGCACTAGGGGGCGATTTAAGGCTGAGTCGACCTAGGGGAAGCTCAGAACCAGGTATCAATATTCGCACATGACTCAGACACACACACGCACACGTACATACACACACACACACGCTCGCGTGTAAATGCGTAACCGCGGTGGATTGGAACAGAAGATCGGTCGCGTCGGTTATAATAATAATCATAATTATTTGTCTGTCGTTATCATTATTATTATTACGTATTATTATTATTGCCATGCTCAACCCCATTGCTGTTGCCCCCCTCGCGTGTCGCCGGGCGTGCGTGTGGCTGCCGCCCCGGGCGCAGACCAGTCCTTCGGCGAGGTGAACCAACTCGGCGGCGTCTTCGTGAACGGGCGACCGCTGCCAAACCCGATCCGCCTGCGAATCGTCGAGTTGGCGCAGCTGGGCATCAGGCCGTGCGACATCTCGCGGCAGCTGCGCGTGTCCCACGGCTGCGTCTCCAAGATCCTGGCTCGCTACAACGAGACGGGCTCCATCCTGCCGGGAGCCATCGGGGGAAGCAAGCCGCGCGTCACCACCCCCAACGTGGTCAAGCACATCCGCGACTACAAGCAGCGCGACCCGGGCATTTTCGCGTGGGAGATACGCGACCGGCTGCTCGCCGACGGCGTCTGCGACAAGTACAACGTGCCCTCCGTGAGCTCCATCAGCCGCATCCTGCGCAACAAGATCGGCAGCCTGTCGCAGCCGTGCTCGCAGATGCAGGACGCGTCGGGCATGGCCTCCTGCAAGCAGTCGGCGGCCGCGGCCGCCGCAGCTGCGGCCGCGGTGCCGTACGGCGCTCTGTACGCGGCCTACACGAGCTCGCAGCTGCATCACCACCACCACCATCACCACCACCACCACGGACACGGGCCCGCGGGGAAGGGCGGCGCGCACGCGATGCACGGCGCCACGGGCGTGCACATACCCGCGGGGCTGCCACGCTCATGGCCCTCCTCCTACACAGTGAGCGACATCCTGGGATTCAGGACGGCGGCTGAGCAGCAAGGTGAGCGGCCGGTGGCGGTAGTGGCAAGTTGTGGTGGTGGTGGTAGCGGTGGTGGTAGCGGTGGTTGGTGCTCGCGGTAACGACGACGATGATAACGATTGTGGTGGTTGTGGTCGTGGTAGTGAAAGCGGTGGTCGTGGCGGCAGTGCTGGTGGCAATTTTATTGTGTCGGTGGTGGTTGTAATGATGATGATGGTGCTTTATGAAGGTGATAATGGTGATTGTGGTCGTGATAGTAGCGGTGTTGGTGATCAGTGAATGTGGTAATGGTGATGGAGTGATGATGATGGTGGTGGTGGCGATAGTTGTGTTTTCCGTCCATCAATGCGCTTTCTTTACAAAGTGAGAGCCCGCTCAGCAGTGAGAGCGGGACAGTAATTTCGTGCGTCCGTCCAGACTAAAAAGTCTCGATGGCTGTAGCAATATTTGCGCTCTATTCAACAGATCTCTGCGCCAAGTTGTTTACGTACTTCCTCCGTTAGTATCAACCGTCGGTGTGTATGTGTGTGTGTATAGACCATACGCGCAACATACGCACGAACAGAACTTGCCACAAAGAGTATGTTTAGGCAATGCAGGGTGGGGGGGTATTTTTTGCAGATGATACACACACACACGCAGTCGCGTTAGCGAACTGCGTAACGAAACCGGCGTCACCGCGTTCGATTCCCGCTCACGACCAACAAGTGTGGAACGGAACCTTGAACCGGTCCTGGGCCTCCCCTCTGTAGACTTAACCTTAAACGAGTACCTGGTGCGGCGTGCCGTGCGTGGACTTCATGGGTGAAGCTGCTCACTGACAGAACATTCCCCCGACAGTATGTTAAGGCTATAAGGGTGGCGCGGGAGGTTTTAATTTTGTACGTATAAGACTACAGCACCCGTTAATGTGTGCCGCGTTAGTTTTGATTCATACTCAAGACGACGACTGCAACATTTCAGATGTATTGTGGCCCGACGTCCAACCCACGTACAAAAAATTGTACGCGAGCTCTTAAAATTCAGAACTACATTTCAAAGCCACACGCTCGGTCGCAGCTCGCTCCGCCATGTGTTTTTTTGTTGTTGTTGTTGCTGTCGTTCGGGCAGTGTTTTTGTTCGGCACGATGTCCGACGTTTCGCTCGACGCGCTGCGAATGTTTCTTCGCGAGCTCAATATTCAGTTCAAACGGCACAACCGTGGAAACGTACGGGGTAGTCAAGCCGTAGGCGAGACAGATGGCTCGTTCTCTTGCCGCTCGGATAGTTACTTTTACGTGATTTTGGCTTAACGTTCTGTCTTTTGAACGTTCCTAACTTTGATCTGCTGACATTTTTTGTGCTTTTACGATTGCTGGATTCGTGTAACCTAGGCCTCCCTTTGACCGTATAACCGCCGCACTCTCCTGCTCACCCTGATCCCCAAACCAAGTTGGTGACTGTTGTTGCTCTCACCTGTCGGACCTAACATAGCAGATTCAAATCCACGTCTCACGCGTCAAATCAGAGAGAGAGCGAGAGAGCGGAGTGAGCAGCAGATGTGCGACAGCCCTAATTTTTGTCCAATTTGTCCGCGGACGGACCGACCGAGGCCCGATTTGATATTTGAGTGACGTGGAGAGAGAGAGCGGTGCCGAGGTTGGGCCCGCACGCCTCGGGTTGCCTGGCTCTGAGGCTAAGGACGTGCGTCGTTGAAGCGTTGCGCTGAGAACTACCTTCGAGTTCCACCACCACCACCACCACCCACAAAAGGCACCGATGAAGGTGGTCAAGGAATTCCGAGAGCTCCGTCAGACGAAAGGGGAACACGCAGCCTCTTACATAGACAGCGCTTGGACAAGTGGTGAAGCTCTAGCTTCGTGCAGGAAGTGACTCTGGCGTTGTTGTTGTTGTTGTTTCGTGAATGGATGGAGCGTTGGCGAGGGTTATTAACTGCGTTGTGTGTTTAGTTTGTTATCCCCCCCCCTACGAACCTCCGATTAGCACGAGTGTCTGCGTACGGTGCGAAAGAAGTTCAATATACGTACATACACAACGCAACGCGCTGTGCTATTAGACCCAGCGGACCTGAGTTCGACTCCCAACCACGGCTCACACCGGTATCAAGTAATGTCTGAACCGATTATGCCCCCGCCCTCGCTCCACCTCCCCCCTAATCATCAACCCGTATTGACCAGCGTGGTGAAGTATGCTCATATATTAGCCATGACCGCGAATTGGCCTTCATGTAGCAGTGGATTGATAACGACCCTAGCTTCTTTCCTATGTTGTTGTGTGATTTGGCCGAATATTACGCATGCATATACGGATGTTCTTATAAAGTGGACTCTATCCGAGTGTGTGTTATACTAATTAGACTACCCGTTGCCATTCACAAATCGATCATGAAATCGTGCACTTTGAATTTCAATTGCGTGTTTTATTTAATTTGAACGAATTCGTTTGCGGAAATTGACGCATAATTACATTGCGACAATATTTATAAATACACCGTAAGGTTACTTCGTATATATATACACACACACGTATTCACGGTTGTGAAAAATTATTGATTGTGGTGCAGACATGACACGCGGTAACCTTACGCCCGTTCTGCACGCGTGCTCCCGGGTTCCCCCGGTCTCCTGCCATAGCTAAACCCTACACCCACAGTGGAACTGCTTTTGAGCCAAAAAAGAGCACATCCCCAGTTGCTGAAACATGCCCTGCGACATCGCAGACCTGCGATCACGCAGGGCAGCAGCGGTAAGAGCCGTAACATCGCTCCCCTCGTGCGAGACCTTGGCCTGATCCACTTGCAAAACGAGCCTTGAATCTCGGCGAGACTTTCTTGGGTATACAAGCAAACAAATGAATGATACGACACAAATTAATTATTCGACATTATGTACACGTATATAGTGTTCGGGCTGTACCGCGTGTCGCTGGGCGTGTGCGCCGTCCGACGTTTCGCTCTGCGTGTGCCGCGCGAGCCTCGTTCGCGTTCTTCCTCGGCCGACTTGAGAACGAAACGTCGGACATCGCGCCGGACAGCACACACGCGCGGCGCCAATGCAGGATGACTGTCGACGCGACTGACGATTCGCGTTCCGCGGTCGCTCGAGGCGATTACGTGCGCCCGAGACGACGCCCCGCGTGTATGAGACCATCGCTTGCACCTCGAGTTGGTAAGGCAGTGTTCACCAAAAGGCGCCCCTGGCGTTTAGGCCTCCGACCACTGCGTAACGTAACGCGAGTCGGAGCGTTGCGAAATACAGGCACGGGTCAGACACTCGTACCGATCGATGTACGTATGCCGAGACTCGCCGTTGGTATCGCGACAATATGTAACCGTGATTGCAAATGCATGATCTGAACTGCATTACAACATCCGTGTCGTCGGAGGACGCCTACGATGTATCATAGTCAATAACAGCTCGCTGGGGCCTTCCTGTTGAAATAAATACTATTTACATCGAAGTGAGCCATTTATAGATACCCCACTGAAATTGTAGGGAAACGTATCGAAAAAAACATTTGTTGCGTGAAAGCATCTACGCGTCTCCCACCGACCTCGATCGGCTTGCATCTCGCCAACTATCTCCTCCGTAGCATGCGGAGCCATCGCGCTTTCACGGAATCCGATCAGCTGTTGAGAAGAATTGAAGGGGTCGGTTCGAAAAGAGTGGGGTATCTGCATGTGGATCACCGTGTACATTTTAGTGCCCCTGGCTTTACCGTACAGAAGCGTACGTCTTTCGCACTCGTACGCAGCCAGCCGTGCTAATCGGAGGTGCGGTACGCGCGCGTATTTCTCCGGATGATAAATTGTAAATTAACAGCCCTTTATTAATCTACTGCTGAATGAAAGCCGATAACCACGCCGCGTCGGTCGTGCTGGGCGGGGGGGGATCGGTAGTTTGACCATACTTCACCACGCTGGTCAGTGCGATAGGTCGGTGAAGTTAGGTGCAGGGGGGTGGCAGGACAGGTTCAGACGCCGCTGGTGGTAATCGTGGCCGGGAATCTAACGAGAGTAGCTCTGGTTCAAAGCGCGTGTGCGCTAACCATGTTACCACCTATCACTACCCCCACACACCGCGCAGTGCGTTGTAAGAAAGTAAAATTGGCCATCCACTAATGTTTGCCACAATTACCAAACCCCCACATCCTCCACGGCAGAACAACTCAATGCATACGCCCGCTCTTGTTCTGCTCTTAAGGACCGTTGCCTGCAACGTAAGTGCACCATATTAGAAACGTCCGTCTACTCAGGCAATGTTAATAATCGAGGTGGTGACATTTGTTGTCGGTATTATTATCATTATTAGAGCAACACGCGCGACTTTAGCCGGCCCCTTATAGCTCGCCGCTATGTAAGCCGCTTTTGGACGAGACTCAAAAGTTCGATTCCCAGTGCACGTTGGAGTCGCTGCGTGGAATGAACGAAGCGCGCCACCTTTAATCGATCGCGAGAAGAAGACGCTAAAGACTTGGGCATGTGTTGCGTCAGTGAGTGGGCCGCTGCGTCAGCGTGGCTGCCGAGTACGCAGGCGGTGCAACTGCACCCGGGGGGCCCAAGGACCCAATGGATCCGAGCAGTAGGACCCTTGCGACTGAGTACACTGGTACACGACTCCGAACGCCTGGCAGCAGCATTCGCCGGATAGACTCTGCGTGTCTCCTCCACGTGCTCTCCGCGTGGTTAAATGAAGGATGTTCAGGATGTAGGGATGACTGCGGACGCACGCCGCACACGCCGAGCGCAGTGAAACGTTCTCACCGCGTTCATGCGCCGCTCATTGACAGCCTCCGTGAACTCGCCCCTACCACTACACCTCTCTTCTCTACGCGCTCTCTTACATCTCGTCCCACTCTACTCCCCTGCACGAAATCTCCTACCTCTCTCCTCTCATCTCACTCTACTCCCCTCCACGCACTCTCCTACCTCTCGTCTGACTCCACTCCCCTCCGTGCACTCTCCTACCTCTCCCCTCTCATCTCACTCTACTCCCCGCCACGCACTCCCAGATGGATGCCTT